CTTTCCTTGGCCGTCTCTGCTCTGGGCTCCTGTGCCCCCCAGGCCCCCCTCCCCATAGCATTTGCCCTCTTTCCCCGGAAAGGAAGGGTCCCAAGGCAGGAAGTGGCCCCCGGCACACAAATGAGCGCCTGGTGGGGGTGCCTGGCCGTCCTTCTGTCTCTTTGCAGGCTGGCAAGCAGACGGGGAGGGCTCCCCACGTCCCTGGGCCCCGTGGCAGAGGGGGCTGCTGCTTCTCTGACTCTCCCTCTTTCCTTCTGCCCCAGGTGAACTTCCGTGGGCCAGGAGCCAGAAAGGGCTGCTGGGCGCAGCGGACGCAGCCGGAGAAGTGCCTGTTGGTCCTGACGCTCCTCCTTCTCCTGGGCCTGTTGGCCTGCCTGTCCGTCCTGCTCTTCCAGTACCAGACGCGTGAGTTTGCTGGCCGTCCACCTGGCCTGCCTCCTCTCGGGGGGAGGGGGGGACGGAGGTCTCCCCCAGCCCCTCCCTGAGGTGACGGCCGCCTTCCTCCTCGTCCTCTTCCTCCCTTCAGAGGCCTGCCTGAGCCAGGCCTGCATCTCGGTGACCAGCTCCATCCTCAGCTCGCTGGACCAAGCGGTGGACCCCTGCGAGGACTTCTTCAGCTATGCTTGCGGCGGCTGGGTCAAGAGGAACCCCATCCCGGACGGCCACTCCCGCTGGGGGACCTTCAACAAGCTTTGGGAGCACAACCAGGCAGCCTTGAAGAGCCTCTTGGGTGGGTTGGGCACCGGTACCACCTGTGGTCCATTGGCACCTGGCAGGTGGTACGCGACCATCCTAGAAAAGTGGTAGCAGGGGAGGGGAACGAGGTGAACCGGTGGCAGCAATGCACAAGCCTGAGCGAGAGACGGTTGGAGCTGCAGGGCTGTCAGGGCTCAGCGGAAGCGCCAGGATCAGCGCCAGGCTCCAGCTGGAGCTCAGCGCTGATCCTGGTTCTTCTGCTGAGCCCAGAAGGAGCACCAATCAGCTGGAAAGCAGCACTGATCCTGGCGCTTCCGCTGAGCCCAGAAGAAGCACCGATCAGCTGGAATGTTGCAGCATCTCCAGGGTCTTGTGATTTACATTCAGATGCTTGGCAACTGATTCATATTTATGACGGTCACGGTGTCCCAGGGTCATGTGAAGGGACCAAAACCTGCTGCAACCTCCCAGCAGACGGGGGGGGGGGATAAAAACCAAACACCCCCCCACCCCACCTCTGCTGCCAATCCTCAACAGAAATGCTCACAACAATGAAAACCTCAGACAGGAGGAAGAGCGCGGTCGGGTGGGCAGGCAGGTGTCTTGCTCGGTTGTGGCTTGGGAGGCACTTTTTTCAGTGTCATTGTAACTTCGAACAGTCACTAAGCGAACTGTTGTAAGTCGAGGACTACCTGTACTTCATCACTTTTTTCCTTTTTTGGTTATCAAGTTTTTGACCCCTTGCTAGGCGACTGGCGGTACTCGGATATTGCCCTATCCTAAAAGTGGTACCATGGGTGAAAAGGTTGAAAAGCCCTGTGCTAGGTCCCTCCTCCTTGGAGGCTGGGAGGGGGGGGGTTCTTTCTCTCTGGTTTGGGGGGGGTGTCCTTGCAGAGCCCGAGCTTTCCAGCACTGCCTTAGAGCAGGACAGAGACCCCAGTCTCTGTCTGTGTGTGTGTCTCTCTCTGCATTTGTGTGTTTCTACGGCTTTCCGCTCCCCAACAGCCCCCTCCCACTTCAGTTTTCCCATGACTGGGCCTCTTGCAATTTTCCAGGGATTGTCCTTCCCTCCCCCCCTCCCCAAAGACGCATCCATGTGCAGAGGGGGGGGGAATTTACCCGATTAAATATTCCTCTCTTGGCAGTGAAGAGGGACGCTGTCTGGAGGGGCGGGAGGGGATTTCCATAGCTACAGACCCTTACCTTCCTTTCTCCAGCCCAAATCCACAGCTGTCTGGAGTGGGGGGTGGGTGGGATTTCCATAGCTACAGACCCTTACCTTCCTTTCTCCAGCCCAAATCTGGGCTTCCAAAGAGCTGTCCCCCAGCTACTCCCAGCGAAGCGCCTGGTCCTGCCCCCCACCAGAACAAAAGCAAAGCCTGCTGAGCCATTGAGGGGGGAGGCTCTTTTGGGGGTCTCTTCCGTGCCCCCTAGGAGGGGACGAGACGCCCCCTCGAGAGAGGCCTCCCTGGGAAGGAGCATCTGTTCTCCCCAACTGTGTCCCCAACAGATCCCAGATGTCGGAGCGTAGAGCAAGGGGGGAATCCAGAAGGAGCACCGTGGGTCCCTTTGGATCCCGCGGGGAAGGGCCGTGGGGTGCAAGGGGGGGCAGGAAAGGGGTGACTGTGTGGTCTCCTCTCTGCAGAAAACACCACGGCCCCCTTGTCGCGGAGCGAGGCCGAGCGCAAAGTGCAGCGTTACTACCAGTCCTGCATGAACGAGAGCCGGATAGAGGAGCTGCAGGCCAAACCGCTGGTGGATCAGGTCCAGAAGGTAACCGGGACGGGGTCCCCGGGACCAAAGGCCTCGCTTGGCAGAAGCGTTCGGCTCTCTTTGCCCCCCCCGCTCCCCAATCGCTCTGGGGCCAACCCCTCGTGGGCGTTAGCATCTGGATGGTCCCAGCTGGTGCTGGCTGGCCCGGTTCAGAACGATGGGAAGTGTGGTCCAGAGCCAGTGCTGAGCAAAAAAAACCCAACAACCTTGCAATTGACGCTCTTAAGCTACTCAGTCGGGGTGACAAGAACGCCATTCTGGGGGGGGGGGCGGCTTTGGGCTTCTTTGGCTCTCCTGCTCTCTTGACCCAGAGGGTCTCTCTCTCTCTCTCTCTCCCCCCCCCAGCTTGGAGGATGGAATATCAGCGCCCCCTCGGGAGAGTACGGTTTCAACCAGACGCTGCTGGCCCTGGTAGCCCACTACCACCTCACCCCCTTCTTCTCCATCTCGGTCAGCGTCGACTCGAAGAATTCCAGCAGCAACATCATCCAGGTAGGGGACCCCCACCCCCCCAGAATCGCCTGCCTCGCCGCCCCGCTGCCCAGGCTCACCCCCTCCTCTCTCTCACTGCTGCTTCTCTTCCAGATCGACCAGTCAGGGCTGGGGCTACCGTCCCGGAATTACTACCTCAACAAAACCCAGAACGAGAAAGTGAGTGGTGGTCCCGCAGCAGGGCCCTCTTGAGTCGGGCACAGCCTCCCTCCTTTCCAGACTCTGCCCGTCGCCCTGTGAGGGTGGCACGGCCTTTTTTGCCCCCCCTCCTCAGACGTGGGGGTCTTTCCACGTTGAGCCAAGGCCACGTCCCTTTTTTCCTACTCCTGCAGGTGCTGGCGGCGTATCTCAATTTCATGGTCCAGCTTGGCGTGCTGGTCAGCGGGGAGGAGGAGGCCACTGTCCGGCCGCAGATGCAAGAAATTCTGGACTTCGAGACCACCTTGGCCAACATCACCACCCCCCAGGAGAAGCTTCGGGATGAGGAACTGATCTACCACAAAATGCCCGCTGGGGAGCTCAAGGTGAGGTGGGGTGTGTGTGTGTGTGTGCGCGGACGTTGGGGGCTCTGCCGTCAGCTCTGCCTCAGATTGGCATCCTTGGAAAGGGGTGAAGGATGGAGGGGGGGGCATTCCAGCATCATCCCTATCAGCCAATCAGCCCTTAGACGAGGATGCTGATGGCTTCCGGCTCTCCTGGAGACGTTCCTTCCCGTCCGAGGCGAGGCTTAGAAAGAAATGGAAGCCAACTCCGGCCACCCTGAGCCCCGATCTCCTTTCGGGGACCCAGGCCTGGTTCTCCGGCAGCTGTCCGTTCCCCGTGGGGTGACTGGGTGGCAGGCAGGGAGGTGGCCTCGTCGCCCTTGAGGAGGGGGCTGGATGCCCTTGAGGAGGTCTCACCCTCCACCCCTCCTTTCTTTTTTCTTTTTTTTATTATAAACAATTTTTATTAGTTTTCCATTTTACACCGACAGAAGCTTAAGAGCCAACGTGGCGATATGGTGATCAATTACAAAAAGAAAATGATAGCATTATAAATATACAGTTCACACAATATTTCGTAAAATTTCCCTCTCTGTCTATATCGAATATTATAATCAAATTGATTTGAATAAAATCATTCATTAATATATCTAAATATAAATTCTCTTAATCAATCAAAACTTTCAACCGCTCAGTGTCTATTCCAGGGGTAGTCAACCTTGGCTCTTTTATGACTCGTGGACTTCAACTCCCAGAATTCCTGAGCCAGCCATGCTGAGGGGACAGGGAGGTTTCCAAGCTGAGCCATGCTGGCTGAGGAATTCTGGGAGTTGAACTCCACAAGTCATAAAAGGGCCAGGTTTGAAGACCCCTGCTCTAAATGGGCCTTACTGTAGACCTAATGGCTGCACAGACTAGGCCAGGGGTAGGCAACCTTGGCTCTTTTATGACTGGTGAACTTCAACTCCCAGAATTCCTGACCTAGCCATGCTGAGGGGGCAGGGAGAGGTTTCCAAGCTGATCCCTGCTGGCTCAGGAATTCTGGGAGTTGAAGTCCACGAGTCATGAGGGGGCCATATTTCCCCCATGCTGGCTCAGGAATTCTGGGAGTTGAAGTCCACGAGTCATGAGGGGGCCATATTTCCCCCATGCTGGCTCAGGAATTCTGGGAGTTGAAGTCCATGAGTCATAAAAGAGCCAAGGTTGACTACCCCTGGTCTATTCTATACAAATCTATAGTGTCTCACATATTTAAACTTAAACTGAAACTCTCCATTTGTTTTAAGATATATTATAATCTCATTAATACATTTCTAAAACAAATTTTCATTTATATTGCTATATTCCTCCTTTCTGCCCTGGAAGGACCTGGCCCCGGCCATCGACTGGATGCCGTTGCTCAAGGAAGTCTTTGACCCGGTGGAGATCAACGAATCGGAGCCCGTGGTGGTCTACGCCAGGGAGTATCTCCAACGCGTCTCCCTGCTCATCCTGAACACGGACAAGAGGTGAGGGAGGGGCAGGAACTTTGGGGCAGGGGGCCTTGAACGGGAGGACCCCACGGGGGGTCCTGGCCAGGGCAGAAGAAAGCCTTGTCGTTCCCCCACCCACCCCTCACCACCCTTTCCCGGCTTTCCTCAGTCCTTCTCTCTCTCTTTCTCTCTGCGCCAGGGTGTTGCGCAACTACATGATTTGGCACCTGGTGAGGAAAGGCGCGAGTTTCCTGGACCAGCGGTTCCAGGAAGCGGGGGAGAAGTTCTTGGAAGTCATGTACGGATCGAAGAAGGTGGGTGCCAGGCGGTTCCCAGGCTTGGCTGCAGGGAAGGACGCAGGAAGGGGTGGCCGGGGTGGCGGGGAGTCCCGTTGCCCCCGAGGGAAAAAAAAGTTCCTCCTGCTTCTCGGGATTGGCTGCCCTGGAGCGCCCTCTGCTGCCCGCCACCAGCCTTGCAGCGCCACGCTCACCTGGTGCTGGATCCGAAGGCTTTTCCCGCCTCTGCCGGTGCCTGCAGCCCCGGGCATCCTTTGGGCACCAGCCAGTCACCTTCCTCGGTCTGAACCCAAAGTAGCACCTCCGGCCGAGGGAAGGACTTGGCACAGGGCCGTCTCAAGAGGGCAGCCAGAGGCCAGAGCTGGGTGCGAGTGACCTTCTTCCTCTGCAGACGTGCCTGCCCCGCTGGAAGTACTGCATCAGCGACACCGACAACAGCCTGGGTTTCGTCTTGGGTGCCATGTTTGTGAAGGCCACCTTTGCCGAAGACAGCCGGACGGTGGTAAGCCTCTCTTCTCCCCTGGCATGACTGGAGCTCTTTGGCGGGGCTTTTAGAAGGAGGCTCCAGGTTCCCAGGGTTCCACTAAGCCTCGCTGGCTTTCCCTGGAGCAGGTCGGGGGTTCCCCACGCAGGAGGAGAGAGGAGACCCCTCCTTCCTAGAGCAGCCGTGCTCCTCCTCCTCCTCCGGCTTCAGTAGAGTAGATTTGGGGAGCCCTTCTCCCTTCTGCCCTGGAGCACCCCACACTGCCAGAGAAGGGCTGGCTAGCCTCACTTTCTCCCCCCTCCCCCCCGCAGGCTGAGGAGATGATCCTGGAGATTAAAAGGGCGCTGGAGGAGAGCCTGGCCAGCCTTGTGTGGATGGACGAGGAGACCAGGCGCTCAGCCAGAGAGAAGGCCGACGCCATCTATGACATGATTGGCTACCCAAAGTTCATCCTGGACCCCAAAGAGCTGGACAAAGTCTTCCACGAGGTGAGTCACACCTGCTGTGTGTGTGTGTGTAGGGGGAGCGGGTGGGTACAGGCTGCAGGGAGCCCTCCTGGTGGGCATTTGGCTCTGATGAGGCTCCCTCTTGGTCTTGGCAGTACGACCCAGTGCCTGACCTGTACTACGAGAACGTTATGCAGTTCTCCAACTTCTCCGCCCGGGTGGCCGCTGACCAGCTTCGCAAGCCTCCGAACCGCGACCAGTGAGTAGGAATCGGCCGAGAACCGTCCTCTTGGGCCAGATCCGGGAAGGGGGGAGGAGGGGGCTGAAGGAGAGAGCTGAGCCGTGTCTCCTGGACCTTGGTCCTGACGGCTTCTCTTGGTTCGTCGTCTTTCCCCAGGTGGAGCATGACCCCCCCAACTGTGAACGCTTATTATTCTCCCACCAAAAACGAGGTCATCTTCCCGGCTGGAATTCTGCAGTCTCCGTTCTACACGCGGAATTACCCCAAGTACGACGGTCTTTCCCGGTCTGTCTCTTGGCATTGGGGGCGGGAAGCTGGTGGTCCCGGAGAGGAAGACAGAGGCGCAGTTCCTTCCCTCCAGGAACTGCTCCAGCTGCCCCTTTTGACGGCCAGAGGCAGCAGGGTGTGTGGGTGTGTGTGTGTGTGTGTGTGTGAACATCCGGTGACGTCCTTGACTCTCTGTCAAAGTCTCCTGGGGCCCGGATGATGGAGAGGAGGGACTGGACCCTGTCAAGATGAGATAATTTTGATGGGGCGAAAGATCCACGATGCAGACAGCATTTGGGGGGACGGTGTCAACTGTCCCACTCGGTCATTTAGGAAAGAGAGACTCCTGGCCGTATGATTTTGCCAAGAATATACTTTACCGAAGCTTAAATGGTTACAGAAGTGGCGTAAGTTGAATCTGAGGCTTTCCCGTGCAAACAGCACGAAGGAAACTTCATTCTCTCCCCCCCCCCCCGAGTTATCTGCAAATGTCCAATCAGGTGCTTGCTCTCTTTCACATTTCAATCCTTCCTTCTCTCCCCCCCCCCAATACCAAAGAGAGAAGCAACCTAGAACTAAGGAGAAATTTCCTGACAGTGAGAACAATTAACCAGTGGAACAACCTGCCTCCAGAAGCGGTGAATGCTCCAACACTGGAAGTTTTTAAAAAGAGACTTGACAGCCATTTGTCCAAAATGGTATAGGGTTTCCTACCTGAGCAGGGAGTTGGACTAGATGACCTCCAAGGTCCCTTCCAACTTTATTATTATTATTATGGATCATCGCACAGTCAGCCAGATATTCAGACTGGATTTGGCATTTTTGTCTACCTATCGAGTCCTTCCCAAGGACCTGGGATGGGCAGATGTGGATGTTTGAATTGATGGTATTACAGATCTCGTCGCAGGATGGAAGCAGTTCCTAGTAAGGCTGCCTTTTGCAATCCATATTGACTGGCACTGATGGTTGACATGGGTTGCTGCCAGCATCCTAGGTGTCAACCAGGTACCTCCTTAAAATGTAAGATGTTCCGAGCAGGGCAGTTTTTTGTAGCATTGCTGGAGTTATTGCAGGAAGCTGCGGTTTCTTGAAATATTTTGCAAAGTTTTGGGACATAGCTCCCAGTGCCCCGATGACAATGGGTATCACTGTTACACGTTTCATCCATAATCGCGCAGTTTCGATGGCCAGGTCGTGATATTTTTTTCCAGTTCTTTTTCTTCGACTCTGGCATCTCCTGGTACAGCGATATCAATCAGCTGTACGCTTCGGTTCTCTATAACTGCGATATCTGGCGTGTTGTGTTCCACATGGCATCATCATCATCATTATTATCATCATTATCATTATTATTATCACCAGCACATGAAGCTTGGTTAGGTGAGATGCAGCCCTGACACTGTCCAGCTGAGCCCCGTCTGTCCTGTGGCTTCTTTTACAGGGCTATCAATTTTGGGGGGATTGGAGTTGTGGTGGGCCACGAGCTGACACACGCCTTTGACGATCAAGGTGAGCACGCAGGGCTGCTTTGGTGGGAAGCGGGCACCATTTTTCCTCCTCTCGAGAAATAGGACCCGGGTAGCGAATCCCTCCAGGGCCCCTTGGCAGGCCTGGTTCTCCTATTCTGGCAAACCGGACCAGCTCTGATCCTTGGTGTGTCTACACAGGACGCGAGTACGACAAGGATGGCAATCTCCGGCCCTGGTGGAAGAACTCCTCGGTGGAGGCCTTCAAGCAGCACACCGAGTGCCTGGTGGAGCAGTACGGCAACTACTCGGTCAATGGAGAAGCCGTGAACGGCAAATACACTCTGGGGGAGAATATTGCGGACAACGGGGGGCTGAAGGCCGCCTACCGGGTGAGCTGAGGGGGTGCAGCCCTCGTGGGGAGCCCTAGCCGGGCTCGGGTGTGGCTCACTCTGCCCTTTCTTTGTCCGCAGGCCTATCGGAACTGGGTGAAGAAGAACGGGCAGGAGCCATCTCTGCCCGCGCTTGGCCTCACCAACGATCAGCTCTTCTTCGTTGCCTTTGCCCAGGTGGGACTCAGCCGCGACCAGATCTCGGCTCTACTCTCCCCCCCCCATATCTCCCTAGAACAGGGGTAGGCAACCTTGGCTCTTTTATGACTCGTGGACTTCAACTCCCAGAATTCCTGAGCCAGCATGGGGGAACTATGGCCCCCTCATGACTCGTGGACTTCAACTCCCAGAATTCCTGAGCCAGCATGGGGGAACTATGGCCCCCTCGTGGCTCGTGGACTTCAACTCCCAGAATTCCTGAGCCAGCATGGCTCAGCTTGGAAACTTCTCCCTTTCCCCTCAGCATGGCTGGCTCAGGAATTCTGGGAGTTGAAGTCCACGAGTCATAAAAAAGCCAAGGTTGCCTACCCCTGGCCTAGTCTGTGCAGCCATCAGGTCTACAGTAAGGCCCATTTAGAGCAGGGGTCTTCAAACCTGGCCCTTTTATGACTGGTGGACTTCACCTCCCAGAATTCCTCAGCCAGCATGGCTCAGCTTGGAAACCTCTCCCTGTCTCCTCAGCGTGGCTGGCTCAGGAATTCTGGGAGTTGAAGTCCACGAGTCATAAAAGAGCCAAGGCTGCCTACCCCTGCCCTGGAAGGTTTCTCTCAGCCCCCCACTCCTCAGTCTGCCCCACTGAGCCCCTGTCTCTTGCCCCTCGCTTCTCCCAGGTCTGGTGTTCCGTCCGTACCCCGGAGAGCTCCCACGAAGGACTCGTCACGGACCCCCACAGCCCTTCCCGCTTCCGAGTCATCGGGACCGTCTCCAATTCCAGGGACTTTTCCAAGCACTTCCAGTGCAGGCCCGGTGCGCCTATGAATCCCCCGCAGAAATGTGAAGTTTGGTGAGGCTTCCCGCCGAAGAAAACCGGGGCGCCCACGCAGGAGCCCCCAGTTCTCCGCTTCCTCCGTGTTAAGAACCAAAGGGAGCCTCCCCCCGGCCTCTCTCGCGCCCTTAGCTGCAAAGGGCCTTCGGAAGACCCCTTTGCGTGACGTCCACTCGCCACGGAGGCCTTCCCATGGCGTCTCCCATGGGCTCGGCACGCCAATCCTTTCCGAAGACCTGAGCCAGCTTTTAAGTCTTCGGCCACTTTTCCAAAGGGAGAACCGCTCCGTCGCGGTAACCAGCCCCAGCCCGGCCACAACGGACACGCAGCCTTTTGTAAAATAGAGAAGTTATTTTTACAACTTTGCAGAGCACTGGAACTTTTTGGGGGGAGGGGGCGGTGGGGAAAACGTATGGAATTTTTAAAATGTTATGATTATCTTAGTCTCTCTATCTCTATCTCGCGCACGCTTCCAAGTGAACAGATGGGGAAAGGCGTTTTTTTGGGGGGGGGATGCATATTGTACGTGGGCTCCGTTGAAAGGGGAATGGGGCTGGGGTCTGCCCGGGCTTGTGACTTCATGGCCCTTCTGGCTTCAGGGCTGGGATCTGTCAGGGTCCCTTCAAGGCGTTTGGTGTCCTCAGAAGCCCACGCGGTTGATCTGTCTCTCAGTTCACTTCTCGTGAGCTTTTGCATTTTGAATTAAAAGAGAGGAATGAAGGCAGAGCTCCAGGGTTAAGCAAGGGGCACGCTAGATTGCCCCCCCCCATCCAAATCCAGCTCCAGGGTTCTCCGTGGGAGCACCATAAGGGTTCTGGGCATAGGAAGGTGTTACTGAAGAGCAAACTCAGAGTCTGGGCTGCTTGGGAGATGGGGTGGGGAGGGGTGGGATTACCCTGGGTTGGTTTTCAGGTCCTGGGCTTGGTGGGGGGGTCCGGAGTCCCGACAAGCGTCCTCTGCTTGCTTTAATGCCAGCAAAGCAGCCCCTTTTGCCCAAGCTGGCACCTCCTATGCAGAAACTGGCAGTCAGGCAGCAAGGAGCTCCCCCCTTCCCAGACAGCGCCTCTGGGAAGGGGGCTCCACCAGGGCTTAAGCAGATATCCCCCTCCCCATCAGATTCCCCCAACCAGCCGCCCTGCGGATAGGTCGGATCCATCCATAGCTCAGTCCTGAAGTCAAACTACATTGGGGAAAAGTTGGTTCGGGATGGCTGCGGAGGGAGCCTGTTGCCTCCCCCCCAGGGGGGGGTCTGGAGGCTGGAAAAGTCGATGGTTTTAGGGTTCCTCTGCTGCCAATGTGGGGTGTTCCACCATGCAAATTGTATGCAGATGCGCAATCTGCTTTCGGTAACCGGATCCCCGGGAAGGCCGCCAATGGCTTCCAGATGTGGTTTGAAGGGGTGGAATTGGGGGGGGAGGGGTTAGCCAAAGAGCTCTTCTGCCCCGTCGCACTAGGGGGGAGGAAAGGAATGTCCCTCTCCCCCTCCCCATAATTCTCCGGGGTTCAGTGAGTTGAGCCTTCTGAGAAAGCGAGGGGAAAAAAAAAAAAGAGATCTGCAAGGAATTTTGTGCTACCCCAATTCCAGATGGATCCGTTCAGGCAATTTGTTCTTTGTTTTTTTTAAAAAGTCTTCCCTGCCTTTGGAAAAAAAAAAAAAAACCACTGTCATTTTGAAATAAACGCCTTTTTATCACGGTTTGAAATGATGGGTTGCCCCTGCTTTTTATTTGTGGGTTTTCTTACCCTCTTCGAATGTTCTCCCGGTTGCCCTTGTCTTGTTCAGCCCAACAGACGGAAAGACCGGCTGTTTGTTTAGTTCCCTGGACACGGGTCAGGACAGAAAATTCCCCCCCTTCCGTGCAATCTGGTTTCGGCAGGGGAAGTGAACAAAGTGCTCTGAGAAATTTGCCCTCCTGGGAATGGGGGGGGGGGNGGGGGGGGGGGAGCCGAGAGCGTCCGCCGGTGCCTGCTGGTCCAAATGGGGAAGGGTGGCATCTGCCTGCTCTCCAGGGAGCCGAATCCTAGCCAGAAGACGGGCGAGGCCGACCGGGAAGCAGGCACAACTGCAAATCTGGCCCAGCAGGACCCTGAGGTCAATATACTGGCATGACTGGGGATTATGGGAGTGGAAGTCCAATCCCTGTGGAGGATTCTGTTGAAAAGACAGCCCTGGGGGACGGGGGGGGGGGGTAAGGAGGTGACAGAAAACTACCAAGTGTTTGTTTTTCCTTAAAACGTGTGTATGTGTGTATATGTATGTCTATGTATATATATATATATATATGTACGTGTGTATGTGTTAAATTTGGATTGCCAACAAAAAGTTAATATATACATATATATGTATGTATATATATATGTGTGTGTGTTTTTCAAAAGTTGGATTGCTAACAATATATATATATATATGTGTGTGTGTGTTTGTATGTACTGTATATATATGTATGTATGTGTGTGTGTGTGTGTACATATACACATACATATGTATTCAGATTTCTTTTTGCTGACAAAGTTGGGGGGCTGCAAGGCAAAAGTGATTATAAAAAGTAGAACTGCAGTATAGCAGTCAAAAATGCCAAGGTGCAATTAATATATACATATGTATATATATGTATGTGTGTGTGTGTGTGTGTATTGTAGATGCTTTTTTTCCAACCACATTTAGATACTGAAACCAGTGTTTTTTGGTTTGGGCAAAAAGCAGTGAGTGAATTTGAGCAGCTTCAGGTCTATTCTCTGTTCTGCAGAGGAGCAGAAGGGGCACGAGAGATCCTTCCTTCCGTGAGCAGAGGAGTGGGCAGTGCTGGGGGGTGGGTGAGGAGTCCCTCACTTAGGGGTGATCCAAGGGGGTGGCTGTCTGGCATGTTCTTAATGGACATCCAGCACAGAAAGAGTCTTGGGGACCCCATGGGGCTCATTTTCTGATGTTCCTCTAAGGGAAATAAATTACAAAGAAACCCTACATCATGGAAGGGGCTCCTCTGAACCACTCCAGTGCCTGCCAGCCTGTCTTCGTTCCTTCTTTTCCCTTCCTTCCCCTCCCTCCCTTTCCCTTTTCTCCTTCCTT